ATTTGATGTCAACTGGCCACTAAGATAGTGCGATTTAACGCCATGCGATCTTTTTCTTAGGGTTTTTCTGAAATCTCGGCTTTATGAAAAAACGAGAAACAATTCCTGAGCTCAAATTAGAGATCCAATGCGTCATCGGTGTGTTACATAATCGGACATACCATTTGCCTAATCGGAATATGTCTTCTTTACAATCCAATAAAAATATCACAACTCTTTCATAAAATACCTGTTTTTATTTTAAAATGAAAAAGTGCACTCACTGAGACAGTCTTTATTAACGTAGGCGCCACGCTCACTTAACAGTATAAGTTGCAGGTCGTACGATTCTGATTCCTATTGAATAATGTTGTTGTTTTGTGATTGTTATGATCGAAAGATGTCTGAATAGTTTTAATAAAAAGTACTCCTTTTTGGTCTAACAATATGTTATAAAATAATAGGCTGTTAGTATAACTGAAGCGTCGACCAAAGTTTTATTATTCTAATTCAAAATACAAACGTATAAGTGCCTATATTACAATTTATACGCGGAAGAACCAGAATTTGGCACAAATGGGCCGACTTGACCTTAGTCCTCACAGAAAACTTGTATTAAGCAATTCTTTCACTGCTTTTCACCGAATGAGTGAGATTACTCGAGTCCAAACGCCTTCTTTCTGGGGGGAAGATTCAAAGGGTGGCAACGTGCTTATGACTTCAGTTGCAGATGTCCATGGGCGGCGGTAGTTCCTTACTATCAAGTCCAAGTCTTCTCGTTTGACCGCCAATACCATGAAGAAATCCTATGTAAAATAAAAATTTAAGATTCCAAAAGTTATTTTCAAAGGTGACGAGGAATTAACAATTTATATCCTCTTTGCGGAATTTATTCCAGAATTTGCGGTCAAGAGCTTTCGTAAAATAAATATGATCACGTGAAGTGAGGGTGTCTGTGGGAACCTGAGAGTTTTTCATAAAGTTCTTGAAGTTTATTGAAGTACTGTAAAATCAGATGACGTACACTTAGCGGTTATGGAGTGTTTTCCCCTCTTGATATAGGAGGACACCCGTTTCTTCAGGGAGATAATTTTAAATATTAGAAAATGCGGTTTTTTGTTTGAAAGCATTATTACTGAAGTGCGAGGTAGACAGTTATATAACAGTTTGAGATGACCATTAATCACTTCTACGGCAATTTCAGTTTCAATTTTCTTTAAATAACTTACATTCCAACTCGTGGGTGAATTCTTGTGATGCAGATTATTAAAAAATAAAGCATTATATACTCAAACTTAGGAACACTATTTTTAAATTAAAAAAAAATCACTTAAAAACAATTTATCTATATGTAGCTAAGAGAGATGTTTAACTTCTAGGGTCCGTAGTCTTAACAAAGAAGCTTTAGTTTCATGATGTTCGTCTGTCTGTACATCTTCGACTTAGCTTAGATACGGTTAATATTAGAACTATTTATCACGATTACAAATTGGTAAAATATGATTAACCTTTAAAATGCTAATTTTTGTTACAGTCAAGTGTCCCCCAGCTAAACTATTGATTTAAAAATCTAAAAAAATCATGATCTCTCTTAAAAATTCATCTTGAAGAATTGCGAATGAAAGATTTTACCTATTTAGCAAGGTAGTAATAGAAGCATAATAGGAGATTATTATAGGATTGAAATTATCGTATTGATATTAGTCATTCACGTTTTGCTCATCTATAATATACAAGTCTGTATTGAGTTTGATCGATTCAAACGTGAGTATATTACATAACTTATTCAAATAATATAACATTCTTCTCTGTTATTTCTTACAATAACATCTACATGGTTGTCGCTGCAGAAAAAAAAAAATTGAGTGAAGAAACTTATAAAAGCTAACATAATAATAGTAATAAAATTTTATTAATAATTTTATAATAATTTTTCTTCTTGTCGGCATTCCCCTCGGATACCATCTACCAGTGGTTGTGTCGGACTCGAACCGACCAAAAGCTGGGGAACCAGGTGTACCCTAGAAATTAAATTCCTGGTACACCGACGTACCTCGGGCCATCAACGGCGGGTAGACCCTTTCCTGTGTGGGAACCCCCATGTTCGCCGTCGGAGGACGGTGGTCGCTTTGCTACCTTCGGTGCCAGAGTCGTCTGCGATACCTGGCAGGGCGGGAGAGTTCTAATCCTCTCCCGGTCCCGCTCTGCCATCTCCATCGTTAGCATAACTTGCTCGCAGAAGAAGACGACGGAGTTCCAAGCGCTCTCGATCCGCAACATGGCCGCAATCATGCTACCGAGCGAGAGAACCCCTGCCCTGATGGCCGCCACAAGGCCTGCCAGCGTGAGGAGCGCCGTGTCCACGGTCCGGCCGTCGCAGTGGTGGCACTCAACCCCAAATCAGTCTTTCGTTGTGAAACTGAATGGGCTTTATAAAATCAATTTCTTTGACCTCTGGGAGAGGAAGACATCTTTTGTTGGTTTGGTCATGTTTATATAGCGCTTTATAAGCTGTTTCTGAGGTTCGAATTCATTCACATCTTGTCATTTATTTATTTTAATCTCGTAACTCTGTACCATCTCTTGCCCGCGGCTCCGCCCGCTTTTATGTCGGTTATCGTGGTATAAAGTAGCCTGTCTTACTCAAAACAAACTCACTTACACATTTATAATATAAGTATGGCTGTCTGTACATTCATTAGTTGATATTCTTTTTATGACGATTTACTTTCGATAAGCGGAAGAAGGCTAAATAGGTGCTATAGAGGTCACTATTAAAAACTCACTTTGTATGTTATTATTTTATTATTATCGGGCAAATTACCTTTACCTACAATATGTAATCATTTTGTAGGTATGCTAATCGATAAATTGCCCGATGCTCGAATTCAAACCAATATGTTCAATATGATTACATATTGTTGTTACCTTTACCTACAATATGCAATCATATTGTAGGTATGCTAATCGATAAATTGCCCGATGCTCGAATTCAAACCAAAATTCATTAAGTTTTATTTGATTTATTTCATTACCCGGTATAACTTAAACTTTCATTGTCGATATTTTTTTTGGGGCCGTCACCACATCGCGGTTTGCGGCGGGGTGGTGTGTCGGAATCGGATCGACTAAAAGCACATGATGAAAAAGGAAAGATCTGGGAACTGATGTTATTAAGACATCTGGACCAAATTATGGGGATCTACCGCAGAGATAAATATCAAATTTAACATATTTTTCAGTACTTCTAAATTATTAGTATTAAAAATGTCACGTTCCTCCGTTGGCACTTTTTTTTTTTAGAAATTGACTTTATTATTACACAAATGCATATTAATATACTATGAGCTGCCTTTTTGAGCTTCAACATATTACTTATTCGCCTGCATCAAACGCTTTTCACACCGTAGTTGATTCATTTAAAATAATTCTAGTAACCGCCTACAGACTACATCATTCACGTTATTTGTTTATTCATGCTGTAAACTTTACTGAAGCTGTATCTGTCCATTAAATATATTTTTAAAAACTAACGCAAGGCAGCTAAGTGCTTCTGAATCTTAAACAAATTTTATTTTTTCTCATGCCTGTCTTGTTCAAACCTTATGCAATAGCCAGTGAATACATTGTCATAAAATTGCAATGGTTTTCAAATATCATTAAAATTTAAATACTGCTGAAAGTTTTATCAAAATACATACTAGTCTACAATAATCTAATTCCTATTATAGTTTTAACTAACTAGGGAGCTTTTTATGTCCTTTGGACGTTACTTTACAAGACATGCATTTAAAAATGTTTATTGGTGAGCACTATCATTTATTCTATTTGGGTGTAATTTATTAAGTAAAATATTGGTATGTCTATCAGCAGTCTTATAATTATAGTTCGATCTCGACTTGGTTCGGGCTCATACTAGCATATCATAGCGTTTGAGGTACATTAATATTGTTCTCTAGCCTAAACTATGCTTAAAACTATATGTACATAAATATATATCTTCTATACAAATAAATAAAATTGGAGTGTCTGTTCGTAATATTAAAATAACCACTTTTTACTAAATGCATATGTATATTTACACGGTACATATGCCAAAATATCATTTTTTACAATTTTTGTCAGTCTGTCTCTCTGTTTGTTTCGAGTAATCTCTGAAACAGCTGGACCGATTTCGACGGGACTTTCACTGGCAGATAGCTGATGGCATGAGGAGTAACTTAGACTACTTTTTTAGACTAGCTTCGCCCCGCGGCGTTGCCCGCGGTTATAACAACAAACGCGGGTAACACCGCGGGTCTCAGCTAGTATATAATATGTATGATCTTTTCTTGATTTCTCTGCTGACAGTATAAGGCTGGTCTCAGTAGTTAGTGGTGCTTGTAATGTAATAAATATTTCTAAAATAGTACAATTTATTAACTGACATGTCAATATTCCATTTTAACACATGTTTTTTATCATCTCGGAATTCCGTAACAGCAACTTCAGAGTTTCTTACGTACACCTTTAAGCGAGGCTCGATTTTAACAATTTTTACAAAACAATTTGTAGTTGTATGAAAACGGTTCAAAATTCTAAGATTATTTCTATTTAGAATTTGGAAAAAAATATAATATAAAATACTCAAATCACTGGAGACATCTGTAGGAAAATGACTCTCTAGCTGAGAGTAAATTTTGTCTTCTCTTTATTTATGATTAGTCCATTACAGAGCTGGCACACGAGCCCATAAATATTCGTGAACATCCGGAGAACACATAAGCAGTCGGTAAATTCTCTATCTAAGTAGATATTTTATTTATCTTCACTAGCGTGCGTCTATAGATTTTTTTGAGTGACAGCGGTCTGATTTACTCGCTGCTCTATTAGGTTTTCTGAATGTTCATCGTAAATAGCTTCCATTATACATCAAAACATGTAATCTGAAAGGATTTAATTTATTTTCAGATAATGCAAGCTGTACATAAATAAATTGACTGAGAATTAATCGTTGACGTACAACAATATACAAAGGAAAGATGTCGAATAATTATTGTGAGACAAACGGGCGACCCATCAATAGAGCGTATGTGGGAATACACGGCTACATCGCTCTGGTCATTTGTTTGTTGGGCTGTGCTGCCAACTCCGTCAACATCGCTGTACTCAGTCGCAAGGAAATGGCCACTTCTACGAACTCTATTCTCACCGGTCTCGCTGTCGCTGACTTACTTGTCATGATGGATTATATACCATTTGCTCTTCACATGTACACAAGGATATGCTCAGAACTTAACCAAAACTCATATGGGTGGGCAGTTTTTGTATATTATCATTCTATATTTAGCCAAACCTTTCACACAATATCGATTTGGCTGACCATAACCCTAGCTGTTTGGAGATTTATTGCGATTAAGTTCCCTCAGAAAAATAGGACATTATGTAACAAGAAGAACACTAACATTGCCATAGGTATGGCCTATGCCGTGTGTCCAATATTGTGTCTTCCTATCTACTTTGCCATGAATATTGTACCTATTCCACTGGATTCTCCTGGAAACAGTACAATAAACGATACGAGCATAACAAATGAGTCACTGACTACGGAACCACAGTATGCCGTCGTGATGACCAATAAGGAGATGCTGACTGCCATATTCTGGATATACAGTGTGTTTATAAAACTTATACCATGTGTAGTGTTGTCAATTTTAAGTGTATTGTTAATCCTAAAAATGAAGTCAAGTGATCGAAGAAGACAGAAACTTTTAAAGAAATCTGCAATTACAACCAACGAGGTAATTATTTATTTACTTCTGTAACCTTTTTTAAGACTAATGTTATGAATAAATTTAAATGTATAATGGCATATGAATAGATGACAAATCCTGATGTGTCTTGCAAGTCATCAGCAAACATTTAACCATTACCTCCTCTAGTCAATAAATAAATAACACAGGCCAAAAAAAATATGACAAAGTTTCTTGCCCTTGAGTATACTTGTCCAAAGGATTTTAGTGCGCTGAATCCGAATTCGGCCGCAGAATTGCTCTATCACGCCAGGATTTTGAGATATTCTGATCTGAGACAAAAATAAAATTTTTGCTCATTTTTAAGGTTTTGTAACCCTTCAAATTTATGCCTTAAAAAGTACACAGGGTATCTGAAAGGTCAAGTCATTAACTTTCTAAAAACGTTGAGTTAGCTCAAATTTCATTTTTTTCGCCTCCAAACCAATCAAATACTGCCCACCCCGAGTTCAGCTAAGCAAACGTTTAACTGAAGTACTAGTCTCTAAACTAAGCAAACCTTGTTCACTACTATCTCAGAGAAAAAAATGGTATTTAAGCAAACTCAACGTATACCATGATACAAATAGCTAAATATGCCCTCAAATTACCACTTACATGAACATGTAAATATTACAATATGATGTTAGAAAACTTTCCATATTCTATAATCAAAATAAATATACGTTGCAATTTGATCAACAACCAGTCAAGTTCTGAGAATCTCGACTTTTATGTGTGCAAAGTACATAGCTACGTAGATCGCTTTCATAGACCTGTGTAAGTACATTTGTCTTTGAGACAAATAAAATACAATGTCCCCATAACGTCGTAGTCATGTCTATAAGAAACTATGAAAAGAATATGTCAATGTATTCTTTTTTATTGTTCTACATTCAATTTCGAGCTCCTTTTATATGTGATAATGGAACGGATTATAATAGTATAATAGTAAGCAGTTACTTTTGTGTGCAGGGTGAGAAGGCTCGACTGAACGACGACGGTACAAAACGAGGCGGAGGGGGTGGGGGCGGCCGTACTGATCGTACAACGCGAATGCTGGTCGCTTTGCTCGGCCTATTCCTCGCTACAGAACTCCCTCAAGCCTTGTTTGGTCTGCTTACAGCCATCGCTCCTCATCTCTTCGAAATATGTTACTATGCTTTCGGTAAGTGCCTTATATTATTTTTTTACACGCTACTCTGTCGGCAAAGCTTAGTTGTTGTAGATATATTATATATGTGTAGTTATCAAAAGTTTTGAGATAGATTTATAAGTCATAAATAGAAATAGGAAATACAGTTGTGTTATGAAGGTTATAAGCCACGTTTGCGTTTAATACTTGTTTTGCAAAAATTTTGTAGACCGTATATAAGGGAAAATGAGTAGGAATAATCTTGCCTTTTCTTTTCAGTTTATAGGTTTGTCTCAACATCGTAATAACACATATTTGCAAATTAATTTATTGACATTGTTCAAAGACAGTTCAGTTTTTTGAATAGTGCAAGTTCTTAGGCAGTACTTTTGATTTGAAAGTGAAATCACGAGTCAATACTGTATGTTACAGGGCCGAGTCAATTAGAGCCCTACTCTTCCTTATCTCGCGCACGCGCCACTCATTTTGTGTAATTAGTCGTCCATCAAGAAATAACTTCTATGTTTAACTAAGAGTAATTAAAAACAACGGCCGTCATCGTTATTTAATCCACACTTCTGGCCTAATAGGATATACGTATCCCGTAAATGAACTGTCCGTCAATGAGAAAGGAGGCGTAGTAAAGTATCATGCTTCAGTAATTAATTTCTACAATTCTTTTCTCTATCCCTAATGAGATTTTTTCATAAAATTATATTTTTTTGTAACACTAACAGTATTTTGAAAATGAAGTAATTTTTTTTTTTTGACCAGAGCATTATTAAGTTTAAGTTATTTCAAGGGACCAATTCAAATCACAAATGAAAGAGCTTGTTTCAGCCAGTGTTCTTAGACTAAAACGAATTTGTATGTCAATTAGAACCTTTGAAAAGAAAGCTATGAAAGCGTTAGAAATGTACAGGAGGAAATCGCGCTTGAGTATCATTTGAGAATGATAAAAGTAAGGTAATTCCTTCCATTACTTCCATTGCTCTGTCATTTGAAATCGGTGAATTCTACAATATTTTTTATTTTGACAAAAAAAAATATAGTCCAGCAGTGGACTATTAAAGGCTGTTGATGATGATGATGATAAACGGTTAAAAAAAAATATATTTTTTTAAATAAACAGCGAGGTATTTAAGTAATTTATTTAAATAAATATAAAATTAATATACATTTACCTAAAAATATATATCACATCATCAACATCAACAGCCTATACTAGTCCACTGCTGGACATAGGCCTCTCCTTAGAAAGGAGGGTTTGGCCTACTACTAAAATATATATACCATAATTAAAATTAATATACACATACCTACACTCAATAAGTGTCAACCTCATGATATATATTATGTCTTTTACATTTTTTGGGTACTTCAACCGCGTTACCACACAACCCACGTTATCAATTAGTCATACTAGTCTATTTACAGACATTACAATAATTAAATTTAAAACCTGTTTCACCCTGATAACATAAGCCTCACAAACCCTTGCTTCCATCCCGCGGTATGCTCGGGGCCGTCGTGTGTTTTGTGATGAAGAAAATTAAATGTTGAAACAACTAGACTTAAACATTTAGGTTCATATTAATCACAAAATAGTTTAGGTGAAAGATATCATATTTGTTTAACAAGTATTTTTTCTATTACTATTCCACACGAGGTTATCTGTGTAGTAATATTTTCCAGTGCAATATATTTACTAACGTTAGAAATAAATATAAGAAGCTAATATGTGCCTAAAATAAATTTTAATAATACAGTGGAACATATCTAAACAATGTATCGTATTTTCTTTATAGAGCACTGTGAAAACGAAATATTTGTTTTCAGTGAATATTTCAGCAACAAACATTTTCGTTTTCTACTTTTTTATTTTTGTTTGACAAGTCATTTTACATGCATGCATTTATATTCTGCATGCAGTCTTATGTCTAGTTACATTATTAAAGTTACCTTTGAATACCACATAATAATCAAGACAACACGGCAAGAAAACTACTAAATCTTATCTTTTTTGGAAGGTCACTTATTTAAACAAAACGCTATAAAAATATCTGTGAATCACGTTGACACGTTTAGTGTTTTTGAATTAATATTATTAATACTATTATTTTACTTCTAAAAACCTGTAATTGTCTTTAAATTATCCATTGTAATGCCAGAAAAACATAACACAATAATGTAATCTGGTTACGTTATACGGGACTGTAAAAATGGAATGTTTCCGTTCGGTAAATATTCCAGCAACAAACATGGTGATTGTCTAGTCGCTCTAAAATTCAAAGTAGTGAGACAGAACATAAATATTTATACTTTATTACAATGCCGTGACCCTGACTAGTAAGCCGGGGGTCATGGGTTTGATGCCCAAATATTGCAAATATTGTGTAATAAGCACAATCCTTTGTTCTGTGGCTGGGTGTTTTTATTTAAAATATGTATGTATTTAGACATATATAAGTAAGTTTATCTGCAGTCTGGTTATCATAGCATAGGATCTGCCTAGTTTGGAATCAGACAGCCGTGCGTAATATGTGTGAGGTTATTATCATTATTGTTATATTGGACTGTAAGAAGAAACCTTAAAAAGTCACGCAAAGTTAGTGGCAGCCGGTGCCTTGCCTAATGTTTCTAGAGTGGTTTATTCCTTGTGGATCTAAGGAAACTCGATTAGTATATCATTAGGACCATATTTTCTTTTCAGAAAAACATTCTTACTTGAAGAAAACACTGTCTGTGAAAAATAACAAACAGAAAATAACATTCAGACCATATAAGGAAAGTCAAATTAACCTCCACTGTTAGCATTTTCCTCGTGTATGTAGCTTACGCAACTATGTTTTAATCTGTAAAATACTAGATATTGAAATATGATACATACATCATAAAAATCCATTCAACGATTAACAACATTTTTATAGGAACGGGTTTTACTTACATCTAGTTGAAGTTTTTATCATCCACAACATAAAACGAATCGTTTCTTGAATTTACTTATAGGAACCGCGTAAGGCGTACCGAATAAGGCTTGAGGATAGCAAACTTTTAAGTATGGTTCGTAATAATAATTATAATTTCAGAATAAGGTAACTCAAATAATAATACCTTTTAATGAAGGAGCTAACTCGTTTGGTTTTTCCATGAATTGTTATTACAAAATGTATGATATGGCTGTCTGTTGTTATTCTTCGCCTCCTCCGACAAAGATCAATATTAACTTTGTTTTGATGAAATACTGTTAGCAGAACAAGTTAGACCTGCTTAAGATTCCAGTCATATTAATAAAGTATTTTAAAACAGAATTAGGAACGTGCAATAGTAAAGTTTCTCAGGAAGAAACATTGATGATAAAGTAAAATCATTGGTTTCCTTACTTAGATGTGATTTACCTTAGTTTGTGTTTGAGTAATAAGTTTAGTTTAGTTTGAGCCGAAAAGGTAGCTGAATAATAATTGAATTTGTTTTGGCATTATATGGCCGCCAAGCTAGGTCGGATTATTTTTTTTATATTATTAGTATTGTTAGTTCAATTAAATCAAATCATCGAGTGCACGGATGTCGTAGTGGTTACGCTAGGTATTGTGGGTCTCCGGTCCGGGCCCAGATGCAGGGCCTCTTCGACGAGCACTTCCGACAGCTTGGTCCGAAGCTGGTGGACACTGCCTCCGCCCTAGGGCGACTTTTGCCCAATTTGGGCGGGGCCAGTGTTCCCACGAGGCGGCTGTACGCGGGGGTTGTCCGGTCCATGGCGCTTTATGGTGCACCGGTGTGGGTGGCGGCTCTGACCGCCCCGAATAGGGCGCGCCTCTGGCGCCCCCAGAGGATATTGGCGGTCAGAGCCATACGTGGTTACCGCACGGTGTCCACCGAGGCGGCTTGCGCCTTGGCCGGAACACCCCCGTGGGATTTGGAGGCGGAAGTGCTCGCCGAAGTTTATCGGCGAGTGAAGACGTGCGCGAGTGGCGCGAAGCCGCTCGCCGAGCCACTATGGTGAGATGGTCGTTCCGGCTGGAGACTCCACGCGCTGGCTTCGCCGCCGTGGAGGCTCTCCAGCCGGTCATCGCCGAGTGGGCAGGGCGGCAGCACGGGACCCTTTCCTTCCGGCTGACGCAGGTGCTTTCCGGGCACGGTTGCTTCGGAAAGTACCTGTACTCGGTCGCTAGGAGGGAATCGAGTCCCGCCTGCCACCACTGCGAATGCAGTGAGGATTCGGCCCAGCACACGCTGGCGGTTTGCCCCGCATGGGCGACGCAGCGCCGGGCCCTTACTGCAGTCATCGGAGCAGATCTCTCGCTACCGGCCGTAATTCGCTCCATGGCCGGTAGCGACGGTTGTTTTACCGCGGTCGCAACCTTCTGCGAGGAGGTAATCTCGCAGAAGGAGGCGGCGAGCGGCGGAGGCGCGCTCACCTGCGCCTCATGCCGCCCTGAGTGTGACCGCGGGTGGACGGGATGGGTTCTCCCCTCCACCCGCATTAGTTGGCCAGCCGCGAGGGGGCGGCGTCCGCGTGTGCCGGACGCCGCCTAAAGAGAGGGTGCACTGAGACGGAGCCCACGCCAGGAGCGGGCCGGCGCTGGGAGGGGTCCAGAAGGAGATAGCTACCTGGACCCTTCCTAAACTGGAAGCGCAAAGAGGGCACACCGTGTGGTTTTAGTCGGTTCGAGTCCGACACACCGCCCCGCCGAACGTGAGCCCCGGCGGGGTGACGGTCCGAGGGGATTTCCACACGTAAAAAAAAAAAAAAAAAAGGTGTTGTGGGTCTGATCCCCACATAGGACGAAACTTTGTGTGAGTCACAAATTGTTGTACTGAGTCTGGGTGTTCTTTGTATCGTTGACTGCATGGAGGGCGTTGTGGTTTAAGCGGTCGCCACGCCGCTTACTACTACGCCTGGTGTTGTCGGTCTGATCCTCACATGGGACGACATTTTGTGTGATCCACAAATTGTTGTTCTGAGTCTGGGTGTTCTTTGTGTCCGTTTCATATATGTATATAAGGTATTTTTAAAGAAAATGTCGGGGTCTTTTTAGAGAAAAAACAAATACTAAACAAATACTACTTAGTATTTGTGTAATCTAGTGATCAAATATCTTTTAAGTACCTAGTTGCTTTAGTATCAGATTGTGTTGCTTCTTTCCATGGCGTTCTTCCTAATACTGCTTCTAAGTCTTTTTATTGTATGACAACAAACTTTGTATGATTGACTTTATCTATTATCACACGATATTGGTAATTAACTAGCTAGATTAGTTTATTTACGAAATGTAATTTTATTTCCTCCTCCTCATTTTATTTATTTGTTATTTTTAATCAAAATATCAACATCAAAAATGACGTAAAGTACACATTATAATTATGTAACAATGAAGTTATTCACAGGTGTCCTCAAATATATGCTAAATTTTCACACATTTTTGAATCGGGATTTATCGCCAGAGCTAAAATATTGTCTGAAGCGATATAAATACAAATTTCTTTCAGGTAT